TAAAATTTAATGATATATGAATATTCTAATAAGACAAGTATAACAATAATTTGTATTATTAAACAAATTTTCAATCTTTTATATAAATATTTTATATAAATATTTTATTAAATAAGAATATATTATAATTTTAGATATTTAAATATTAATTATAGAGTATTACACTGTTTATTGTAATGCAATTTTTAAATTTTATTAATTATAAATAAATATTAATCAATTTTATAAATAAAATTGAAAGAAAAAAAAACCAATCAATATCTTCGTTTAGATGGAATTGAAATACGGTTGGTTCATATACTTGTAATAAATCATATGAATCGTATATCAATTGGTAATAGTAATTTTTATATTTGATATATAAAAATATATGTAATTTAGCATAAATTTTGAGATATTTTTTATAATACAACAAATAATTTGATTAATTATTTAATTTTGAAATATATTACAATTCATATATACATTTATATACTCAGAATTATTGCCATTATGATAAAATGATATCTATCTTTCTTTATCTTTCTATGGTCTAACAAAATTATAGATTCTAAAATATTATACTTACAATTGTAAAAATTATTTTTATTTATATTTTTAAAAACGTATAATTATATTATTAAAATTAAATTTGTATAATGCATTAGTATAGATTAATAAAAAGAATAATTAAAAAGTAGTGACAGGTGGTTTGACATTTATTCGCCGCCATCGTTATTAGCGACAGTGATCTGCCATATTGCGCGTGATATAAAGAATTGCAATACATTTACGTTATTACGATTATTATTTGTATATTTAATACAAGTACTTATTGTTTATGTAGTAATAATATTTTAACAAAATCTTTATAATACAGTTTGTGGGAAAACATTCCACAGTAGTGTACTGCAAAACGGTGAGTAGACAACGATGCATTGTTGACATCAGAAACTTTTTTGTAGCAAACAGTTGTCATCAAAGAAATTGCAATTTGATTGTTTGTATTTATAAATTTCAAAACTACTATTATCATATTTTTTTATATAATAATTTATAATTTCTTCAATATTTTTAAATAATATTGTGATAATTATAATTTAAACAATTATTATTTTATCTATTTTATTGAAAAACATTTGAATAAGCACATCTTTACATAGTATTATTATATTTTTATAACCGTAGTCTATTATTATTTAAATTTCTACAAAATAATATTGTATTAGAATGATTGATATTAATGTGATATCATTTAATATATATAACTTTTCTATGCACTTATTAACAAAATTTATTATTAACAAAATGATCATTCAATTTATTAATAATTATAATAAAATTTTATTTATTGTTTTAATATTTATGAAAAATTTGTTTGAAACATTGATATTATATTTATCAATTATGTTATAATGATTATGTATAATTATATACATGCAATTATTTTTATGTAAATTTATATTTATATGTATAATAAAAATATTTTTCATAATTTTTTTTCATTGTATTGTTGTCATTTATGGATTCTTTTTTGTTATGTATTTTTAATATATCAGATGCTTAATAAATTTTATTTTAAATTATACAATGTTTATTGTTTTATAATATATCTGTTTTAGATATTGTATTAATATGAAAATTAAAAAAATTGCATATAATGATTTTTATATATAAACTTATATTATATTAATTTATATATTTTGCAAGAATTTAAAGATTTATAAATTATGTATTTACAGATAAAACATGTCAACAGGACCATATAATTATTCTTATATCTTCAAATACATTATTATAGGAGATATGGGAGTAGGAAAATCATGCTTACTACATCAGTTTACAGAAAAAAAATGTAAGTTATTAGTGTCATAATTGAAAAAAATGAATAGAATAAAGATGTTATGATTAAAGGTTAAAAATACATAATTTTTATAATACCAGAAATATATTTATATTTTGATATTATTATAGATGAATATTATACATGAATAAAATATTTAAAAATAATAAAATATAATTCTTATAATCTTTATAAATAATACAAATTTATATTTCATATAAATTGTTAAATATTTTTTTTAAAATAAATGAAAAATAATATGAAAATAATAATTTTAAAATAATATGGAAAATTTTTTCTATATTATAGTTATGGCAGATTGCCCACATACTATTGGTGTTGAGTTTGGAACAAGAATTATTGAAGTTGCAGGACAAAAAATAAAATTACAAATATGGGATACTGCTGGTCAAGAACGTTTTAGAGCAGTTACTAGGTCTATATGCTCTTATAATTATTAAATTGTAATATTTTAAATAAAAAAGGCAATAACAAAATAGATATATATTTGTCTACATAATTATAGATCTATATATATATATATAAATATATATATATATGCACATATATATTATAGATCTTATTACCGAGGTGCAGCTGGAGCATTAATGGTCTATGACATAACTCGTCGTTCAACTTATAATCATCTTAGCAGCTGGCTTACAGATACAAGGAATTTAACAAATCCAAGCACTGTATGCAAAATATGATATTTTACATAATGGTATTTACGTCTGTAAAGTGTAAACTACATTGATGCAGAACTGTTGAATGATGTATTTCTCATACTCTATAAATAATAGGTTTATACTATTTATGTAACAAAAAATTTTACATATTGTATTTACAGGTTATATTTTTAATCGGAAATAAAAGTGATTTAGAAGGTCAACGAGATGTTACTTATGAAGAAGCAAAACAATTTGCTGATGAAAATGGTCTTATGTTTGTAGAAGCTAGTGCAAAAACGTAAGCCTAAGTTATGCAATTAAAATATAGATCTATAATAAAATTATATAATTAGAAAAAATTATATTTCATGTTTTTTTTCTTAGAGGCCACAATGTTGAAGAGGCTTTTTTGGAAACAGCGAAAAAAATATTTCAAAGTATACAAGATGGCCGGTCAGTAAAAACTAATTTTAGTTGTAATATAATTTGATTGATACAATTTCATATTTTTATTAAAAATTTTATTTTAATAATTTAATAATTTGTTTATAGTTTGGATTTAAATGCAGCTGAATCTGGAGTTCAACATAATCCAAGTCAACCAGGTCGTACTAATCTTCAAGGAGTATCTAATGAACAACAAGGTGGAAAAGATTCTTGCTCCTGTTAGGTCTATATTTGTTTGTATATAGAAATATGAATTCATCGGTACTATTGATGCATATATGATTTGTACTAAGTATAGTAAGCAAATAGTCTCCTGTCTTTATCCCTTTCATATGTGAGATCTATTCAAAAAGAGATATCAATTTTTTTTCTAGTTAGATTTGATTTACAGAAATGAAATACAGATATATGATTTAGTCTACATATGCATAAATAAATTGTACTGATAACAGTAATTCTGTATTAACATTGAAAATGATATTGATATTTCAATGTTAAAGCTTTTTTATGGTTATTGTAATTTGCATATATGCAAATATTATTGCATATGCTGTATACTTTATTGCATAAAAAAATTGAATATTAGGTAATATATTGTACTCACAAATACACATATACTGTACACATGTACATGTACATGATATAAAATGTTTACTTAATCACAAAAGAATATGATAAATGTGAATGTGACGCAGCCAAATAAGATAAACATTTATCATTGTAAATTGAATTTGTGTAACAAGATTGAGCACGTTTGATCATGTTTGTTATATAATTTGCAATTTGAGAGTTATTGTATTATAATCTTAAGTGCAAAAAATTGTTAATATATCTGAATTTCTCAATAGCATCAGAGTTGTCATAAAGTCGCATAATGAAAAATAGAATTAATGTCAACTCTAGTGTTCCATAACTACAACCACCCACTTTCATATCATATAAAACATATAAATTGCTAACTTAAACTTAAATATATAATTTTTATTTTCAGTTTGAAAAACATTTTAATTTTCAAATATTTTGGAATGTTCTATGTTTCTAATTTGATAAAAAAAATATTTAATAATACAATACATTATTATCATTAATATATAATATAATTATATTATTATCATTGCTATTATTTCAAAGATTTTAAAAGCTATCAGTCCTTCCTTTTAATAAGACATATTTTTCATGACATTACATTATATTTATCAACATTCTTATGCAGCTAAAAATATTGTATTAATTTATATATTTGATATTATATATGTTTAATCTTTATTCTCATTTCATGTTATATTAATTTTAAAAAATAGAAAAAAAAATTACTTAAAAATTAGTTAAAATTTTTTATTATTTTAATTGACAACTATATTGTGTTTAGTAGTAAATTTTTTTAAAATTACAATTTTACGTTTTTGATTGAAATAAACAACAAGAAATTTATTTAAAATAAAGCAGAACAATTTATTTAAGACAGAATATTATGTTATTTTTAGTTTAATGAAATAGATTAATTAGTATTTACATTCTATTTAACATATTGTAAAATTATCTTATAGTTTATATTGATAAGAAATGCATTTAATTTTACCGCCTAAATTCGTTATAAAAATAATTTAAAAATATAAAACATTATTTTAAATAAATTTGATCAAGATTTTTCAGACTCATTTAAAATAATTGTTATTTTATAATGTAAGTTTGAAAACCTAATTTAAATTTTAATTACTCATCAATATATTTTTCATATCTTGTACATATAAATAATTAATAATAAAAATAAATATTTATATTATAGCTGCATTAATATTATTGATTTTACTTAATGTTGAGATAAAATTCATGTATGAAGAAATATACCATCATAATTTTTTTATAATTTTAAAAAAATAAAGATAATACAAATCATGTAAAAAATTGATAGCATATTTGATTTAATAAAATTTCCTCTTAAATTTAACATGTCATATCATTATATATAGATATAATGTTACTTTGCACAGATAAATATATATCTTATTGTTTCATATTTTGGATTTTTAAGTTATTACAAATGATTTTAAAATATAAACTTTTAAAAAATTTTATATTTATTTATAATATATAATCTTTTTTTCTAATTACTAGATTCATTCTATTTTATTATTATTTTTTGTATAATTGTTCTTAATAGAATTTCTTATTAGAATTTTATGTTAATAAAAAAGTTCTCAAGTCATTAAATTATGATTGGTAAATTTAAAAATTATAAATTTAAAATATTTAATAATATCTTTTATACATTAAATAATAATATATTTAATTTTACCGCCTAAATTCGTTATAAAAATAATTTAAAAATATAAAACGTAACAATTGAATTAGATGTATAAATTTAACTTCATCAGACATATAAGAGAAGGATTAAATTGTTATAACATAGTAAATTTTCAAGTTAAAAATTGTTCTACAATGAATTATCAATATATTTATATTATTTTTATGATTGGTATAATGTTTTGTTTAATAAAGGGGTAAGTTATTTTTAATAATAGTACACATCAATATATTTTTTTTTATAAAAATCTAATTTTATTTCATGAGATAATATTGAATAAATGTTTGTTTGTGAAAATTAAAGAATATTTATGACATATTAATTTTATCAAAAAAAAATATTTTTTATATTTATTTATTTTGATAAATTTTAATGATATTTTAAAATTACTTTGTTATATTTTTACTTTAATTGATTTTAATTCATAATATGTAATATATTGAGTATCTTAAATTTTTTATTTAATATTGTTTTTAAAATAATACTATATTAAATATTAGTACAAAGTCATAAATTAATTATTAATAGTTATAATAGATAATAATAATAATTAATAATAATAATAATTAAAAATTATGTTAACAATATAATTTTTTATTGCTTATTCGTATTTATTATAACCTGTTTTCATCATCGTGTTATACAAGAAATTTGTAAAGATTTATTAATTTGTAAGTTTTAATAATAATATTTAAATGTTCTATTATATGTCGTAAAAAATATATTATTGTTTTACATACAATCTATATTTTAATATTTCTTTTTTGCTAAATTTTGTTTGACATCAAAAATTTTTATATTTTTTTATATAAACATATTCAACAAATAAAGCTCAAAAAAAATATTATTCTATCATTTGTTTAAAGCAAAGTAACAATGATTCTTTAAAACATGAAAATTTAGAATATTTTAAAATTATAAAAAAAAAGTTTAATATTCTTACATATAATTATATCATTCATTTGCTGCAGTAGTGACATAATTTAAAAAATTAATTTTAAAAATTATAATTTTTTAATTATTAATATAGAAATAACCATTTTGTTAATAGAATTTTAAATTTAAAATGAGAATTTAAAATTTTAATGAATTTTAATTTTTAGAAAGATTGAAAACATTCATGTTAAAATTGTAATTTTTATATTATGATGTTATTGCAGTAAATGAGCAATACAATAAAAATGTTTTCAAATAATCAAATTTATTTTTTATTTTTATAATTTATTAGGCATAAAGAAATACTTTTTGATTTTACAACTGTAGAAAATGTAGATAATTGGAAAGAAATATCTGACACTGTAAGAACAGTAGGAAAGTCAAAAGCTGTTTTAGTATTGCAAACAACACAAATTTTTCAATATGCTGTATTCTTTACTCTTTTGAATCCACAACTAAATGGTGCAGGTTTTGCAGGAATACGTACAATTACTAATTTAAATTTATCTAATTTTAAAAATGTTGAAATCAATTGTCGAGGACAAGGCAGCAATATTTACTATAAAGTTGTTCTTAGACACAAAGGTCTTCATTCAAATAAAGATATAACATATGAACAATTTTTCACGGTAAATTTTAGTCACATTATATATTTTAAATTATTTCTAAAAACAATATAAAAAAATTATTAAATTATAATAAAATAATTTTTTGAATATATTATTTAAATTACATTATTATTAATTATTTAAAAAGTTTTAAATAAAAATAATTTCCAAATATATATTAATTTAATATAAAAATCATATTAAATCACATTAGGCACCAATGTCAAATATTGATTTTTCAACTGTGATATTGCCTTTGAAAAATTTTAAACCATATTATCATGGACGAGAAGTATCTGATGTAGAACCATTAGACACTGCAAATATTACAATGTTTGGTTTACAAATGTATGGTGGAGTTTATTTACCAATTAAACAAAAAGGTGTATCAGCATTAGAAGTAATAAATATATCAGCATCATAATTACTGTATGATATGAACAATATAAATAATATAAGAAATTAAATTATTTCAATAATTTTATTAATTATTGACTTTGTCAATTATTATTTTAATTTATATTTTAAATACCAATTTGTAAAGGAAATAAAAAAATATACACGGATATGCGAAATTTATAAAATTATTTAATTATTATAGATGTATATATTTTAATCAAATATGTTAATTTCTCATTGTTATTTACGTTAATTTGCATAAATGTAAATTAACAAGAATTTTTTAAATAAAAAATTTTTTGAATAAAAAATGTATTTCTTTTTTTTGAATTTGTGTTCAAATAGAAACATTGTAATATATGGTTTTCTTTTAATTTTTTTGAATATTCTTCTAATTAATTATTAATTATTTTATTAATGATAATTATTATTTTAAATTTACCAGTCATTTAAGTAACTTTCTTCAAGAACATTATATGATTTAAGATCGTGATTGAATCTGTAATAAAAACATATAACATACATGTATATATAATTTATAATATACTAATATACTATAATTATACTAATTTATAATATTTATAATATATATACTTATAATATATTAATATTGATATTAATTATATTAATGTAAAAATCATTTACTTACGTTTTAAATGCATCAACTATTTCCGGTACTTTCGATGGATGACATACAACAGTTGTTCTACATTCTTTTGGATCAAATAATGGTTTTAAATATTGTGATGCTATACGATCCATATCCTCAATTGTTACTTCAGATACATGTTGTACCATTTGTTGAGTATAATCGTGTGGTACGTTTTTAAAGTAAGACAATAATGATTGTTCTACTAAATCACCTACATTTTGTTCTTTTTCAATAATTTCAAATATTAAACAAGATTTTGCTGATTCAAAAAGTAATTTTTCCCATTTATTTTCAAAAATATGAATTTCCTATATTTAATTTAGTAAATAAATAATTTTATTTGTACTTTAAATATCAAATATTTACTTAATTATAATCTAAGCATACTTACTACAATTGATTTTGCTTCTTTATAAGCTGCTATAACATTTGTAGATTTATAAAGTGAAAAATATAATAGGCCGTCATTTGGTTTAGGATAGATAGCATATCCATAAGATAGACCTTGACCTCTAATGAGTTTCCACATAGGACCCTTTTGTAATATTCGTATTTAAATTAAATATAATATAATTAAATATTATTAAATTGTATTATATTAATTAAATAAATATTAAATTATATATTATATAATTATATTTCTTATATTTATATTCAATTATTATTTATTTACCTCTAATTGAGTTAAATACTTTATACAAACAAGTAAAGGAGCTAGATCTGGATTCTGGTAATCACTTATACATGGACAACACTGACATAAATAGGAAGATTCTATGCTACCTAATCCTGTAACGCATCCTCTAAATGAAATTTCATCTGGAGAATTTATCAATGTAGAATCAGGAATGGCTTCAAGTCTGTATAATTATATATTTACGATTTATATGCAAATATGTAATTTGTAATTTAAATTGTATAAATAAACTAACTTAATCTTGCTTGATGTATCAAAAGTAGAAAAGTAAGTGTTCCATGGATTGTAAACATTTGGTACTTGAGCAGTTAATTTATCCACATTAGTTGCCATGTATAATACCATGTTTTTAGGTATTGTTAACAGTTCTCTAACTGATTCAATTTCAGATACAATTTCTTTTTGTCCTGTTTCATTATTCAAACGTTCTAGAACATTATTAAGAAATTTTTGTTGTCGTAACATACTAGATGTGTAAGGATTGCTATCTAAAAATGCAAAATATTATTATTATTATTTACAATTATGTAACATATAATTCCTCGTAACATTCTTTTACCCTTATTATATATCAGTCCCTTCATCAAATCATTTACTACTTTATTTCCTTGTCTCTTAACTTGAGCAACATCATTTACCATTTTTGCAGCTGTTATTTTCAATCTATCTGGAGTTAATTTAGTTTCATATAAAAGTTCTTTAATCCATTGTACACCTTTTTCATATTTTTCTATTTCAATCTAAAAATAATAGGTATTTAAAATTATTAAATAAATATAGAAAATAATTTATTTAATACAAAAAATTGTTACCTGATAAAAATTAATATAAAAATGTTACCTGAAGTATTAAAAGAGCACTATAGCTATATAATCCACATGAAAATTTCGAAGAATTAATTCCAACTCCAAGTGCAGTAGCATTGTTTGTAGTATCAGCTTCCAATTCAGCTACAATTTCTTCATATGGAATGAGTTGACCATTTCTCATTACTGGACATTCCATTATTATTTCCAGCAATAAAGGAATATAAGGTTTATATTCTTTTTTTACATTTGAAGTATTCATAATAACAAACATCTGTAAAAGAAATATACATAGTCATTTAAATGATATTAAATAATAAAAAATAATGAATAGATAAAAAAATAATAAACATAATTATACATACATAAACAAAATTTGTATTAACATGATCCAAATACGTATAAAATGGTAATTTCGATACATCAAATCTAGAATGTTGTTTACTCGTTTCTGTTGTATAACTTTTAATGTAGTGAAAATTAATAAGGTGAGTAGATGGTATAGGAACAGAACTTAATATTTCATCTGGTACTGGTATCTAAAAATGTATTCATTAAAATGTTAAAAAAAAAGAAATATATATTTATATACACATGAATATAAAATTAAATACATTATTCTTAGCAATTGCTTCTTGCAATTTTCTTTCTTTTTCTTGAAGACCTTCTTTACCTAAATTTTCAATCTGTTTAGCAACACGAACTTTTTCTTTTTCAGTTAATTCATGTTTTTTTTCTAAACTGGGAATTCCTTTAACTATTACAAATGGAGGATCAATAAAATATGTTTTTAACAAATTTAACCAATAAGATTCAGGCTCAGTTTCTAATTTCCGAAAATCTTGTATTTCATTTGTTCTTTGATCCAACTAAAATTATAAAAACAAATATATTATCATTATAAAAATATTTTTGAATAAAATATTTTGTAATATATTCATTTAAAAGAACTTACATCATCCTTAGAATTACCATAAAGTGCATATCCAAAAAGCATATGTGCAACTGAATCATGAGGTTCATTTTCTAAACAACTCAAAGTTTCAAGAATACGTCTATGAACAACTGTTTTCATTCGTTTCATATCAATTCCTTTTTCATATACATCATTCAGTACTTTTAATAATTGATCTTTTATCAAAGGTATTTTTAATTTTGGTACACTTTCAAATTCAAGACATAGTTCAGATATTGTATATTTAGGATAAGAATAACCAACATTACTGGCATATGCATCATCAATTTCAACAAATTCTTTTTGCACTGGACTAACCGATGTATCTGTGAGGTATTTTAAAAGTAATGTACAACCAATAAGATCATACATTTTATTATTAATAGAAGATCCCCTCCATGCAACATTCACTATTCCATTATCTTCATTATCACAAGGATAATATACATCTACATCAACAGTTTTAGTAAGAGATGGTATAGGATTTTGCCAAGGTCTTTTAAAGAAATTTCTATTTCCCTAAAATATTTGTTACTTTTTGACTATGTTATACAAATTGTAAAAAATTTAAAATAAATTACAATGAATGAAATTTAATAACAAATAATTTTACATATACCTTTGCTATTATTTTCTTTTCTATGGTTTGTAATGCTTTAAATACATCTGCATGTTTCACTTGACCAGCGATTACTATTGTTAAATTCTCTGGCCTATAAAATTCTTGATGGTATTCTCTAATTTTTTCATTATTAGTACTTTCTCTTAAATTTTTTAATGCTCCTGAAGAAAATATAATATTTTTCTTTTAAAAGCTGTAATATATATTATTTAATATTTCCATTTTAAGATTGTAAAATTTTTAAGAAATTATATATTTTTACCTCCTACATTAGATTTATAACCACATCGTCCAGGAAAAAGTGCTCTTATCTGTTCCATGTATACTAAATATTCTCCAGTAGCTTCTTTTCCTTGCATTTCACAATAAACTACACCTGCATCTTCGCCTTCACCATTAACATGATGTATTTCAGTAAGAAAAGCTGCATCCTAAAAACATAAACTTTATTTTGTTACTTTATAAATATTTTACAAATATAATATAAAATATTAAAAATTTATAATATATAATACATTATACCGTAAGTAATGGGTAAAGTATATGATCTAAATATATAGGCATTAAAGATAGAAATCCTTCACTTCCAGCAGTTATCATAGTATAAAAAGTAGAATCAATTTGTGTTGCAGCATTGGTACCAGATGCTAAACATCTATTGGCCAATAAGTCCAAAACACCTTTGTATGGATAATCCTCACTACCCAGGAAAACAAGATGTTCCAATGTATGAGGTAGTCCATCATCATCATGTGCCTCAGTAGCTAAATTTATAAAAATAGATACATCATGTATATATATATATATATATATATGT